TATACTAAAAGATATAACATGTACTTCACCTACAAGGGCATCTAAATATCGAAAAGCATACATCAGTAGTTTACATTCAGCGGTTAATTCATTGTCTGAAGATAAAGCTTTATCAATGATTGTAGAGACAAAATTATCAAAACATCAATACAATGTTATCAGATGTACTGCAAAATATTGTAATAGTAACATTTTTCCAAATTATGATGTAATTTCTATAGCTAAAAAACGATGTTATCCGGAAGGTATTACAGTAACTGAGACAAGTGCTGAAGTTAAACTACAATTTTTGTTAGATCACACAATTCAGCGTATTTTATTAGTACAAAAAGATGTTTTTAATACACTGACTCCTGCTCAATTATCGGGTTTGCAACTTATTTCGAAATGAAATTTCGCTGTGATGGTAGTTCGGGACAGAATGAATATAAACAAAAATTTTCGGATGAATTTAGGTCGGATGCTAGTATTTTTATAATATCATTTGTTCTTCTTCAACTGATAATTGGTGAATATGATGACAAGAATAAAATTGTCGTATGGAAAAATCCTCGCTCTTCTTCACCTCGATTTTGTAGACCTATTAAATTACAATTTATTCAAGAAAGTACCGAATTAATTGTAAAAGAAGTGCAATATATTGAGAGCCAAATAGAAACGCTTACACATTCTTTTATTGTAATGGACGAAAAAGAAATATTAGTCAAACACAAACTGTTGTTTACGATGATAGATGGAAAGATATGTAATGCGATCGCATCAAACGCAAGTACTCAGAAATGTTATTTATGTGGAGCAACAGCGAAAGATTTTAACAAAATAGAAATAATGCTTCAAAGAAAAGTTAATGAATCGTATTTGAGATTTGGACTCTCTACATTACATGCGTGGATACGGATGTTTGAATGTCTGTTACATTTAGCATATAAATTAGATATAAAAAAATGGCAAATACGAACAAAAGAAGATAAACGGAAAGTTGCGGAAAATAAGGAAAGAATTCAACAGAAGTTTAAGACGGAATTAGGATTGATTGTAAATAAACCAAAACCGGGATTTGGAAATAGTAATGATGGGAATACGGCTCGTCGATTTTTTGAAAATACTATATCGTCCTCAATAACAGAAGCGGATGAAGAAGTGATTAAGAGATTTTATGTTATATTGCAAACTATATCAAGTGGCTATGATATAAATGTTTATACCTTTCAAATGTACACATTAGAGACTGCGAAAAAATTTGTTAATATTTATCCGTGGTATAACATGCTTACTACAGTTCATAAAATCTTGATTCATAATCCTAAAATTATTTCTTCTGCAATATTACCAATTGGTCAACTTTCAGAAGAGGCACAAGAATCTCGAAATAAAGATATCAAGAAATATCGCCGAGAATTTACGCATAAATTTTCTAGAACAATAGAAATGGAAGATCTTCTTCATCAACTCTTGATTTCATCAGATCCATACATTTCGAGTGTTAGAAGTTTACCTAAAAAAAAATTAAATCACTTATCAAAAGATGTTTTAGCACTCCTATTAGCACCCAACATATCAGTGACACCATAATTTGCACAAGACGATGTAGCTGTGTCTAGCGACACATATTAAATATTTTTCATTTTTATGATAATTAAATTATGAGTTAGAATATTTACTATGTGTTACAATATTCAATTACTTTTGTTTATACATATACAAAAATATTTATTTATTGTTATAATATTTACTTATTGTTACAATATGTTATAATATTCAATTATTTTTATTTACATACACACACATACACACACGCACGTACGCACGCACATATACATTTATTATTATTTACAAAAGTATTTTATGTTTAAAAAGATTTCTGTTTCATTAGAAAAAATAGGCCTAATTATTTATTTTTAACTGCAATAAAATTGTAAGACGTTTTATTTTATTATATATGTAATAAAATTTTAAAATATCGTTTAAAATTGTGTATTGTTTAAAATATCACTTTATTATATTGATTCTTATATAATTTTTTTTATTTTACATATAAAATTCGTAATTGGCGACCGCAAAAATTATCGAATTCCAATTTTGATATAAATCAATACAATTTTAAGGTTTTGGCCAGCATTTAGTGAATATCAGCCACTGTGCGACGTGCGACCTTGACACTCGCGAATCGCATCTCGCCGCGTCCTTCTGCCCTTAGCTACGAGATGTAACGAGTCATAATACACTGACACATATGCATGACATATCCGTGTGCCAAATTGACGCCGAATCGAAGCGTGTCGCCGTTTCAGCTGCATACATGTATGCAGAGGTGACGCAACGAGCGTAATACAAAATCGTGTGCCCAAGGATAATTATCTTTCGTTTTCTCGACGTCGTGGTAGAAAAGTGACAGAGTGCAATTACATTTAGAAGATTATTTTATAAGTCGGCTCACATTAAAACCGTAATGTGTTCCTGAGATTAAAAAAAATAGAAAAAAAGCGATAGAAACTGAAAGGATTTGCAGAGAATCTAACTGTTCTTTATCGTAATTGTTTCTCTATCGTATCGTTTGCATGTATCAAATCCGCAAGAAATGAAATCGTTTTTTAACGTGTTCTGTTAGGAGGGTATTAAATCGTTACCCACACAAAACTTCCATTAGACGTCCACAGATCATCCATAGCTCCATCAGACATCCATCTCCACGATGGGCGACAAGTGGATCTCTAATGGACGTCCATAATTCATCGATGATGGATATCCATATCCATCGATAACATCCATCGTGGACGTTTATTGTACATCTATTACGGATGTGCAATAGATCTTTACATTTAATTTTTTATTGAATTTCAGTACGACTTCTATTGCATTATAACTTTCCTAGTAGAACATAAGAGTCAAAATGATATCAATATGACGTCATTTTGACCAAACAATGAACAAATTTATGTTAACTATCAGCCAAAAGAAATATTAAATTAAGGCCTTATGCCACTGTAATTTTTTCAAAATATCAATTTTTTTTTATTGGCTTAATTGATGGATAAACTATTCAAAAATGTAATAAAAATTGTTTTATACCATAGAAAAAATTGTATCAGTTCATTTAAACCATTTTATTGAACATAGTCACGACGTATGAAATTACGTATTTCGCGCGTTTTGCTTTTTTCACTGTCTCGATAAAAATGATACCCATATTTACGACGTGTGTTTGAAATATGATGATAGAGGGCGCTCGTAATTATTTTGCTCAAAAATTTTGCTACAGTTCGGGTGAAATTGCGCGTAAACAGTAGAGGTTAGACCTCACGCTGCAATCGCTAGTACACGTGGTGACGACATATTTTCATAATATTTACTGAGTCCTAGTATTGTATATTTTATACAGTTGACAATGAGTGATAAAAAAGTTGTTTACCAGGGGAAAAAAGGTACAAAAACTTCTACGTGGTCTACGAATAGAAGCAAGAGTAAGAAGCGGCCGCAAAATAGATTTGAGACGGAGGCCGAGTCAGAAGGAGTGAGCGCATCTGCAAAAAAGTTAAAAACATCTTGTGAATTGCAAGATGTACCGATTGATCCAACGTTTGGCTATCGAATAATGAATTTCGCTGCTTTAATGAGTGCAATTTCGGAACGTGTAGTGTGCAGAACCTGTGATTCGGACGTTAAGTTTTTAGAAACAAGCAAGCGAGGGCTAGGTTTCAAAGTGGTTGTTTTTTGTAGCAAGTGTGGCGCAAAATTTTTCCCTGTCTCTCCGTTTATAAAAAATGGATATGAAATCAACCGACGCTTTGCTTTTGTAATGAGAATCCTGGGTATTGGTTTACAGGGAATGAAAAAGTTCTGCGCTTTCATGGATATGCCAGCGCCAATATTTCACAGTTTTTACGATTCGCTGATGGATACGATATCGATTGCTACGAAGGCGGTTAGTACTGTAAGCATGAAGAAAGCAGCAGTAGAAGAAAAAGAGAAAAGCATTGAAAATAAACAAACTGACGGTTTGACGGTCTCAGGTGACGATTCTTGGCGAAAACGTGGCTTTTCCTCTTTATACGGAATTGTGACTCTTATTGGTTGGCACACAAAGTCATCGATGTTATCGTTAAATCTAAATATTGTAAGTCTTGTGAATATTAGAAAAATCGCGCTGACACTGCTGAATACGTAGAATGGCTAAAAACACACGCAGAAAGTTGCTAAAGCAATCACGAAGGCTCTTCAGGCAAGATGGAAGTTGATGAAGTAATTGAAATGTTTCAACGGTCGCTCGAGCTGCACAACGTTAAATACTCACAGTACGTCGGTGACGGCGATAGCAAAACTTTTAAAGGTATAGTAGATGCAAAATCTTATAAAGATCTTGACGTAAAAAAAAAGGAATGTATCGCTCACGTGCAGAAACGCATGGGGACACGCCTGCGAAATTAAAAAAAAAAATACAAAAGGATTAGGTGGAAAAGGGAAGCTGACTGGTAAATTAATTGACGATCTTACGATGTATTATGGCCTCGGTATTCGTCGGAACACAGATTTTGTTGAAAACATGAAAAAAGAAATTTAGGCAACATTGTATCACAAACTTTCGACAGATGAAAAACCACAGCACGATAACTGTCCTCCAGGCGTTAACTTGTGGTGCACGTGGCAAAAAGCAAAATCTGAAAATCGTTTGGATACGTATGAGCATAAGCCTTTAAGTATCGAAGTATTTAATGCCATCAAACCAGTGTACGAAGATCTTACTCGTAATGACTTGTTCGAACGTTGCTTGGGAGGATTTACACAAAATAATAACGAGTGTTTCAATTCGACCGTCTGGAACATTGCACCAAAAAATATTTCAAGCAATAAGAAGGTGCTTAATATTGCTACTGATGTCGCTGTATGTGTATTCAACGATGGATTTTTCGGTATACTGAAGATAATGAAGGTCCTGCAGTTGCCGATAGGCTTGACTTGTTACAATTATTGCATGGAAACCAATGAAACGAGAATCAGTCAAGCCGAGTCGTCGTTGACGGATGCTGCAAAAACGGCGCGCTTGGCCTCTAGATCGCTGAAAAAATTGGAAGATGAAGCAAATATAAACTTGGAAGGCAATTTATATGGTGCTGGCATTGTTGACTAATGGTAAACATTTTTTTTTTTATAAATTTTCAAGTTTAAAGCATAGAAATCAGATTAAACGCGATTATCTAAAAACTATGTTTTTCAAATTGGCTTGCAAGATAACTCTCTCAATTTTTATCCGATTGAGTTCAAATTTTAACTGTAGCTTCTTAATTAGATTTTGCAGAGAATGTCGTACGGATTTTGCCAAATATTAAAAATTAGAAAAGTTATTAACAAAAAACTCATTTTTTTGCGAAAAAAATCGACTTTTTTTCAAAAGCTTGCCATTTTTTTAAAAATCAATATTTCCAAAATTCCGTACGACATTCTCTAGACATTTTCATGTAATTTAAGAATTTTTTTTTTTTGCAGGATCAAAACTCTTCAAGATATTTTACAAGCCCTGGAGCAACTTTTTAAAAACACGTTTTTTTGACAACGGCCGTGTGCTGCCATTTTGTTTTTTTTTTATTAAAAAATAAAAATGTGTACCTTAATACATATATAAACATGTGGTAAACTTTGTTTTATTAATAATACATTTTTTCCCATCCAAAAAAAAATACCAAAGAAGTAGTCGGTTTTCGGGTCTCTACAGTGGCATAAGGCCTTAATATAATTTTGATTATGTATTACTTGGGCTATTCCTAGCAATATAAAAGATGATTGTAATTAAAATATATATTAAATAGCGTGAAAACTTTTTTATTTTTATTGCAACATTGACATAAAATAGATCCTTCACAATACCGATATCATTTTAACATCAATGTCATGAAATTGTCATGAAAATGGTATCGCTTGACGTCAAAATGACATTACTTTTATATCATTTGACGTCATTTTGATTTTTATATGACTTTGTGTTCTACCTGCTCTACTGAAAAATCCAAATCTCAATTGAAAACGCAATTACAGAGTAATTACTCTGTCAAAATATTGCAAAAGAGGAGGAAAGAATATTATTTCTCTTTTGCGAGCACGTTGTATGTTAAAGTTTGATTACTTATATAACATTGTATCAATATTAATTGTATTATGATTGTTATTACGTCCTTTGAAACATTTATTGACAAATATGTTATTATATTATATTATATTTTTGAACGCTATAAGAGTATATTGTAAATGCAATCCACCAAGATATTGTTACAGCGCAGTGGTATCATTAGTTCCCGACGATCGTTGAGGTTAAGCATTGAAGAGCATAGTCATTTAAAGATAGGTGCTGTCTGACACGGGATCGAATCCACGTGAATCCCACGAATAAATAAAACGACATAAAATATGAAATGCCAGTTTTTTTGTTATTTAGACAAAATAATACTTCATTTTTCACTGAGTAAAATTATGTAATATTACTGAGATATTGCAATATTACTGTGATATTGTGTAATATTATTAGAACGTCCACTGGAAGTTCAATGGAGGTCCAAGATGCGGACATTTGGATGTTGAGTGGAGGCTTTATGGATTTTCTATGGACGTCTATTAGAGGTTCTGAATCTCCATGATGGAAGTCTAATGGACATCCGATGGAAGTTTTGTTCTGTGTGGATACTATGATAGAATTCTTAGAGACTTGTCGTGTCCTATCGTTTTGTTGGAATTTATCATGAAAAAATCATTGGAAATCTGTCATAATTTGTGGTGTATTAATGATGGGAGAAACTCAAAGTTTTTTATCGTATAAAGGAAACCTATCGTTCTCGATTGCGTACGAACGATATTTGACTTGTACGTATAATTACGATAGAAGGCGTGCATAATCTATCGTCATAATCTATCGTCAAGTAGTTATACCAAGAATAGATGTTTTTCTATCGTCATCTTACAAAAAATGTAACACGTTAAGGCTAAGTATATTCATCAACAAAATTATCGTATAGGTAAATTCATGTCGAAAATTCATTTTTGTGCAATAAGCTTATAACTTTACAGTTATATTTTGTTGAAAAGTGCGAAAACAATGCCTACTTGCTTCAAATGTGATAAGAGTCTTATAAGTATAAATGCTTTAAATGTGCACCTCCGTATTAGTCATCATGTCTTAAAACGTGAAATTCATTATTGTTCAGAATTTGGCTGCTCAGGAATATTTTCGAATTGGGAAAAATACAGAAAATATTTATCCTCTTTTCATGAATATCCCTCAAAAATAAAAACTGTTCGTGCTTCAACGTCGTCTAATGTTCAATTACAATCTAATGATATACAGGACGAAGACAATTCGAATTATGTTGATGATAATGATAATGATGAGCAGCTAAATGTCCAGTATAAATGTACTGAGGAACAAATAGGAATGACAAATAGTTTGGAGAAATTTTTATTTACATATACAGCAAAATTATATGCCAATCATCAGTTATCCCGTTATCACGTTCAAAATGTGCTGGATGATTCTAGAGATCTAGTACAACAAATGCTATCTATTATAAAACCTACAATAAACAATATATTGACTAATAGTGGGGTGACTGATAATACAGTGATTAATATTGAATCTTGCTTAGATCGATTACTTCAACCTTTTTCAGTACTTTCATCTGAATATCGAAGGTTTAAAGCATTTACAAGGACTGGCTGTTTTATTGAAAGTATAGATCATATAGTTGGGCAGAGAACAGATGAGAAAATGTATAATAACAATATTATTAAACAAATTGTGCCAGTTTGTGCTAAATTTATCCCGATGAGAATAGTGCTCCAGAAAATATTTAATCTTCCTAATGTTTACTCGTCTGTAAGTTTTTACGTTAATGCATTATTACAGGAAAACGATGTAATTGAAAATTTTGTTCAGGGTAATCTTTGGCGTAAAAAAATAGAGCTTCATTTTCACGATAAAATAGTTTTTCCTTTATTTATTTACTACGATGATTTTGAAGTTAACAATGCTTTAGGAACGCACACTGGCATTCAAAAGTTAGGTGCTGTGTACTATTCTGTAGCATGTTTTCTACCTGAAATAAATTCTCTCCTTGAAAATATTTTTCTCGTTATGTTGTTTCATGCTACAGATCGAATAGAATTTCATAATCACAGTGTTTTTAATATTTTAATTGATGAACTTAATTACTTACAAACTGAAGGTATAGAAATTGAATCTAAGAAAGGAAAGAATATTAGAATTTATTTTGCTTTAGGTCTTCTTAGGCGATAATCTTGGGTTGAATGGAATTCATGGATTTGTCGAAAGTTTTAATGCTTATTATTCCTGCAGACTTTGTAAAATGTCTAAGGACGAATGGCAAACGGAATTTTTGGAAAAAAAAATGAGAGTAAATACTTATGAATCTGATATTTTGCTGAAAAATGTTACGAAAACTGGCATAAAAGAAAAATCAATTTGGGATCAAGTTCTATACTTCAAAACAAGTCAAAATTTTTGTTCTGATTGGTTGCATGATGGACCTGAAGGATGGTTTAAATATGTATTGCAGTGTATATTGCATCATTACGTTATGAAAAATATTATATCAATAGATATTCTAAATGACCGGCAAAAAACATTCGATTATCATCATAATGGTATATCTAATAAATCACCATTCATTTCGTATGAAGACATCAAAAAAAAAAAATTGTCTATGTCTGGTAGCGAGTTATCTAATTTTATTTTAATATTTGCAATGCTTGTAGGAGATCTTATTCCAGAGAATGACGAAGTATGGCCATTATATTTAAAGATGAGAGAAATTATGGATTTAATTTTAGCTCCAAGATTACAAAAAGAAACATGCAATCTGTTTCGAGTTTTAGTTAGTGAGTTTCACATGATGTTTGGAGAATTATTTCCAAATGAAAGATATACTCCAAAATCATACAATTTTGTTCATTACGGTACTGTTTTTCAGTTTTCTGGACCTATTCGCAATTTAAGTACTATTCGTTTCGAAGCAAAACATAAAAATAAGAAGAAAGAGGCAAATGCCACAGCATCGAGAAGAAATATCATCCATACTCTGTGCATGAAAGAGCAGCTAAGTCTGTGCTACAGATTTATGATGCTCAAAGGTATAGAATCTAATGATTCATGGGGTGAAGACGAATTTTTGGAACATGTATCTTTATGCTATGATTATCTGTTATTTAAATATACCCTACCATCTGATTTTAACGATGCTTGTTTAGTAATGAAATGGATTCAAATTAATGGTCAGACTTACAGAAAAGGAACATGTATTGTAATTCGCATTACGGATCACTGTTATGACTCATTACCCGTTTTTGGCTTGATCAAATCTATTTTGCGAAATGAAAAAAATCGAACCTGTTTAATTTGTCACATATTATTAACATCAGGTTTTGATATAAATTTACATGCATATGTTGTCCAGAGAACTGAACAAATAGAATGTGTGATTACAGACGATTTGCTTTCCTCTTTTCCAGCCATATTTGTTTCCCTGGGAAAAGGTCTTGAGCAACATAAATTGTACGTTACTTTAAAATACGCATTGTAATATTTCGTAAATTTCCGTTTTACATTTATTATAGTATCTTATTTACGTAACGCTAATTACTTTTATATAAATTTTTAAAAGAACTAATATAAGTAGACGATATGCATTTCTTTCATGTATATATATGTATATATCAAAGCTATAGTTACATTTATTCATATAAACAAAATAAAGTTAATCAATAATATTTTCTCTTTTATGCTATTTTTTTCCTTAGAAGAAAATATATCTCTTAGAATAATGCCAGGAAAAAAAAAATACTTTTCAACCCAATAGTGTTGGTCATATAATAAGCTGCATAAAAGTAGCATGCGAATATTTATTACAATTGTTAGTTTATTGTGAAAATGATGAACGGTAAAGTTGTTATAAAAATCGAGTAAAACATTCACTTTCTCTTTAACACTAATTTAGAAATTTATTTCTAAAAGAGGACTTAGAAATCAATTTCAACATTAATGTTGGAGAGAAAGTGAATTTTTTATCCGATATTTATAACAACAACTTTACTGTTTATCATTTTTACAATAAACTAAGAAACAATTGTAATTAATATCCGCGTGCTAATTTCATACTGCTTATTGTATTACCAAGTATTCGAAAAAGTGAAAAGTACATTTTCTTTCCAGCACTAGTCAAAGTATATCCCATCAATATCTAATGCAAATACATTTATAAATTCCTGTTGTATCATCAATGTCATACGGTTGTGGTATCCATTTTACGACTATCCTAAGTAAGGTTGGGACAACCATACAAGTTGCTTCCAAAGAACTATAGTTCCTAGAACCTTGTTATACGGATGGGCGAAAAATAACATCACTATTTTGTTGTGACAACCGTATATCGCGAAATTATAACCATAGTGTTTTCTGCGTGATGCATTTAGCCTTAGTGTGTTACGCTTTTTGTAAGAAGATGATAGAAAAACACCCATTCTTGGTGTAATCATTGGACGATTGATTATGATGCACGCCTTCTATCGTAATTATATGTACAAGTCAAATATCATTCGTACACACCTATCGAGAACGATAGATTTCCTTTATACGATAAAGAACTTTGAGTTTCTCTCATCATTAATATATCACAAATTATGACAGATTTCCAGTGATTTTTTCATGATAAATTCCAACAAAACGATAGGATACGACAAGTCTCTAAGAATTCTATCATAGTAACGATTTAATACCCTCCTAACAGAGCACGTTAGAAAACGATTTTATTTCTTGCGGATTCGATACATGCAAACGATACGATAGAGAAACAATTACGATAGAGAACAGTTAGATTCTCTGCAAATCCTTTCAGTTTCTATCGATTTCTTTCTTTCTATTTTTTTAATCACAAGAACACATTATGGTTTTAATGTGAGTTGTCTTATAAAATAATCTTCTAAATGTAATCGCGCGCTGTCACTTTTCTACCACGACGTCGAGAAAACGAAAGAAGAAAGATAATTATCCTTGAGCACACGATTTTGTGTTACACGCCGCTCGTTGTGTCACCTCTACATACATGTATGCAGCCGAAGCGGCGACACGCTTCGATTCGGCGTCGATTCGGCACACGGATATGTCATGCATATGTGTCAGTGTATCATGACTCGCTATGGCTCGTAGCTATGGGCAGAGGGACGCGGCGAGACGCGATTTGCGAGTGTCACGGTTGTACGTCAGCCGAAGGCATCTTTCTTTCCGCTGTCGCTTTCTCTACGCTGATTTGTTGAGACTATAATTAATTTTTCAAAAACTATTGCGAATATCGCAAAACGGCACAGGATTTTCTTACTCACCTCAATCCATTCTACGTTCTCACCAAGGGTCATCATGGAGGTTCGGGACACCCTGTATACAGTGTTTGACGCAAGGTATACAAAAGCATACATGTGAAAGTAGAACATGTTAACCTGAGCATGAAGAGCTCTAGTATTTCGCAAATAACTACGTAAAATTTCGAGATATTAATGAAAAAATTGGCGAATTTGAGCGCGCGTTGTTGGATTGGACTCTATAAACGCAAGATCTGATCGAAAATTATTAAAACGCTACTGTCTTTTAGCATAGTCGGATATCGACTGATAGCTCTAGGTAGAGTAAGGATGTGAACAGTGTGATAATAATTATTTTTCGGTGTATGGTGAGCGTGTCGCAAACAAATAATCGCATTTCGAACAATTTTGATGATATTTCGCGTTCAATTCAACGGTACTTGTCTCACAACTTTGCGTAGGCTGGTTCGTTAATCTTTTTTTATCAAAATTTTTATCTCGAAATTTCACGTAATTGTTTATAAAATGGCAAGCGTTTTTTTGTGCAGGTTCCTTTTTCGGCGTGCTTTACCTTCACATATAGTTTTGTATGGCTTACGTCAGACATTTTGTATACACGAGGAAAATACAAGAATATACCACACATAGAAATGTCGTCTTTACATTTTTTCGAAAAATTGATCTTGTTTTTTCAGACAATCCAATATATTAATATATAATGCTGCGGAATCTTCCGATTTGAATACTGAATCTGATGCTTAGTAACTCAGTCACTGATTACTAACTGGTAACTGGTAAGCAACACGGTTTAAATAGAGTTTAAATAGAGTAACAAGAAGATAGAAGTAGTAATTTAGAGCTATATATGCGCACGCAATAATTATATATTGACACAGAAATTATAATTTGCATTCGTTATAGTGCAAATATCCTCACTTTACCCATTTTCTCAGTTTTATTTATCCCACTTCTCTAACTCATAACGCAATTTAAATTCTTAAGATTGCATAAAATTGTTATAAGCAGGTGTGATTGAGTCATAATTATATGGCACATTCTGAGAATGCGTTCGAAAATAAATACCTGTAATATACATTTTTTTTAACTCCTAACAGTACTGTGATCTGTCACACACAAAGACATTTATGCCCGTATTTATAGATGACTCTTATCTTAAGGATTGAGAAAGCCTTGTTGGAGGAAACCTTATTTGATCAAGGCTTCCTTGTTTCATAATGTGTACTTAAATCTAGGTATAGCTTCCGGAATGGAACCGTGTCTTGAATCAGCGATATGCCGACGTTTCGCAAACGTTGCAGTTGAATGATTAACATACTTCTGTTTCATATTATCCCAGCATTTTTTTAGTTGTTTACTGGTACGAGATGAAAAGCCTTGGCTGCAATATCTGTTATTAACTTTTTCCCAAGCTTCAGCCTTGCATCTTAAATCTGATGCTCCTGTTTTCTTATTTTCTATAATTTGTTCTTCTGATATTAATTGAGCAAGGAGCAATCGTTCTGTTTCGGTATAATGAGTATTTTTCGAGTCGCACTCCATAATTGCATTTATGCCAGTATACTAATTGTCTACTATACTGTACTGTATTGTCTACTATATTGTCTACTATACTATCTACTATATTGTAAATAAATATAACCTAATTATTTGCACTCTGTCCAGACTATTCAATAAACGGTGACATAATTTCACGGCTTTTTCACGGCTGAGAACTCTGATACTGTATCAGAGTTCTCAGCCCTGATGATGCAAACTGCAACGTTTGCGAAACGTCGGCATATCGCTGATTCAAGACATGGCTCCATTCCGGAAGCTATACCTAGACATTGTATCAATGGCCGTGAAAGCCTCAAATCTAGTATGTGCACTTAAGATTTCGTTGCAGGAGTTTGTTTCCTAGGGATTTTTAGTAATTTATGATTAAAACCTGCATTATGTCACCGTTTATTGAATAGTTTGGACAGAGTGCAAATAATTAGGTTATATTTATTTACAATATAGTAGATAGTATAGTAGACAATATAGTAGACAATACAGTACAGTATAGTAGACAATTAGTATACTGGCATAAATGCAATTATGGAGTGCGACTCGAAAAATACTCATTATACCGAAACAGAACGATTGCTCCTTGCTCAATTAATATCAGAAGAACAAATTATAGAAAATAAGAAAACAGGAGCATCAGATTTAAGATGCAAGGCTGAAGCTTGGGAAAAAGTTAATAACAGATATTGCAGCCAAGGCTTTTCATCTCGTACCAGTAAACAACTAAAAAAATGCTGGGATAATATGAAACAGAAGTATGTTAATCATTTTTTTAATATTTGCATGAGAAATCCATATATATATTACAAAATATATCAACTCTTTGTTATCAGTTGTTTTCTTACAGTATTATTGGTAATAAATTGGTCAGTGATAAATTATTGCTGAATAATTTTATTACTCATAGAGTAATAAAACTACTAAGCAACAATAATTCATCACTGACCAATTTATCACAGCAGATAATATTTTCTTTGTAAAGGTTGTTTAATATAATTAACATTCATTTGTCGGAAATTATAATTATATTAATATAAGAAGTGTTATTTTAGAAAAAAGAAGTTAAACACTTCAATAAAGGTTCAGTGTCTCATGACGGGTGGAGGCGTTGCACCAGCAATACCTGTTGATCCAGTCATGAATTTTATGGATGATGCAACTCCAAATTTAGATATCGAAGTTCCATGTCCATTTGATAGTATAACTCAGATGGAAAAAGAATGTAAGATATATTTTTTGTATCTTTCTTTACCATAAACTAAATTTTTTTCAGAACTTACATTAAGTTTATCTAATTTGTTAATATTTTTTTTTCAGATCATGTAAACTCAAACAGGCAATTTATAGTGCATAGTGACGACAAGACTGAGAAAGAGGCAATATTAGCTACAATTGATATGGAAAATGATTCTTTAAAAATAGATTCAAATAAGGAAAATTCTACAAGTTTTATAAGTCAATATGCAATGTTAGCAACATTGATACAAGTAAAACCATAAAAAGGAAACAAGCACCAGCATTAAAAGTTGAAAAAGATTTTCACAATATAAACGATGAAAAACAATTGAGACTGATCAAGCTTCGTGATGCAATTGCACAACAGCGGAAACTTCATGCGAAGGAAATGGAAGTTGCCGATGTGGAAGTCAAAATTGCATTGCTCAAGCTTCTAATGGTTGAAGAAAATGCAAAACAACAGTCTGATATTCCACTATAATTTAACATACATATTTATCGATAGTACTTGCTGTGAATATATATAATAAGATTGTGCGCGTATTCTATTTAATTATAGTATACATATATATTTATTTTATGTATTGTATGTAGCTGGTATGAATTTGTTATAAGAAAGTACTTACGTTTTATTTTAAACGTGCAATCTTTCATAATAGATGAATGTTGATAAAATATTGTATATAAAATCACTGTTAAATATTGATAGTAATCAAATACTGAGAATTATTATGCGAAGGTGAAAAATGAGAAAATCATAATGTTTACAAAAATATACTTATATTCCTAATTTTCTCATGTCTCATAAACTATTGGGTGTACAACTTAGTTCGGTCCGTTTTCAAAAGATGGCTCTGGGTGCTATAAATGGTTGACGGCGACAGCGGATTTTTGCTGTATCGTGAAGTGTCAACATCTGTCAACCAAATATTGTTTACAAGCCTTTGAGTTTTACACAACAAGTTTAATTTTTACTGCGTTGAAAATGTCGAGTTTCGTTCCAAATAAGCACCATTTGCGGGAAGTTTTGATTTTCTGTTTCAATTGGAAGAAAAGTGCAGCTGAAGCGCATCGAATGTGGAAGTTTATGGTGAATCTGCACCGTCGGATAAATCTTGCAGAGAATGGTTTCGACAATTTCAAAGTGGTGATTTTAGTGTTGATGACAAAGAGCGTTCGGGTCAACCGAAAAAGTTTGAAAATGAAGAATTAGAAACATTACTCGATCAAGATTCGTGTCAAACGCAAAAAGAGCTCGCAAGAACATTGGAAGTTACTCAACAAGCTATTTCGAAACGACTCAAAGCCGCGGGATACATCCAAAAGCAAGGAAATTGGGTCCCATACGAATTGAAACCGAGAGATATCGAACGACGATTTTGCATGTCCGAAATGTTGCTTGAACGGTACAAAAAGAAGTCTTTTCTGCATCGAATCATTACCGGGGACGAAAAATGGATTCACTACGACAACCCGAAACGCAAAAAATCGTATGTAAAGCCCGGCCAACCGGGAACATCAACGCCGAAGCCGAATATCCATGATGCCAAGGTAATGCTCTGTATTTGGTGGGATCAGAAGGGTGTGATCCACTATGAGCTGCTAAAACCTGGTCAAACCATCACGGGAGACTTCTACAGGCGACAATTGATCCGTTTAAAGCGAGCTATAGCCGAAAAACGTCCAGAATATGCGACCAGACACGAGTCCATAATCTTTCACCATGACAACGCTCGGCCTCATGTTGCTGTTCCGGTTAAAAACTATTTGGAAAATAGCGGATGGGAAGTTCTGGCTCACCCGCCTTATAGCCCAGACCTTGCCTCTTCCAACTACCATTTGTTTCGATCGATGCAGAACGCTTTGACTGGAATACACTTCACTTCAGAACAGGGTATCAAAAATTGGCTCGATTCATTCTTGGCTTCAAAAGATGAACGCTTCTTCCGCGACGGAATCCATAAATTGCCAGAAAGATGGGAAAAAGTAGTGGCTAGCGATGGACAATACTTTCAATAATGTATTAATTCATTTTATCATTCAAATAAATGCGTTTTTCAAGCAAAAAAACGGACCGAATTAAGTTGTACACCCAATACTAGATATCGAAGGTTGTCAACACATTCCAAACTTTCATGAATCCTCCTGCGATAATTTCGATCCCAAGCGGTACCACTACTGGTCACCCCATCTATGTCCTGACCGCATCAAACTGTTGCTTAACCTGACGATCGAGCGCACACGCGGTGACTCTGATGACTCCAACGATGTTCTTACAATTCATGCTTATATAATGTATCCTTATATTGTTCACATACATATATTATAACATACCTAGCAAACACCAAATAATAGTTATATAATTTTTACTTGTTGTTTATTGGGTAATTTGTTGATAGGTATTGAAACAATGCAACATTCAATAGGCGATGAATATTGATATGATGTAGTGAACCAGTTATAATTACTTTTACATTTTTAACAAAATGTTATAATGATTAATCCAACAAAAAAAAAAATTAAAAAATCCAAGAAAATCCAAATTAAACAAATCGAATTACTAAATTTTGAGAAATTTTTAAAAAATATTATTTAAAACAATAGTGTTGTTTCATCAAATGACATGGTTTCCTTGAATGAAATAGAAGTTTTATTTTCATTATTTTAAAAAATAATATTTCGTTTAAGAATATAATATTTTAATGAAACAAAAAAAAAAACACAAAATTAAACAAGTACGAATATTAAATCTAAAGAAAGTATTTTCTCCGAAAAAAACGGTATAAGTATACCCAGTAAGCAATCTGCGCGCAGACTGACGTCAGACTGTCGACAGGATCTGTCGAATCCGAACAGGATCTGTCGACAGATCCATAGACATCTGCGTCCCCAATCTGCCGCCAGACTGTTGACAGGGTCTGCGAACAGACTCTGACGACAGATTGGCGGCAGATTCCGCGCAGATCCGTTTCGTAGGTTCTTCAATTAAATTTTCTCATAATTTTTCATAATTACTCATAGAATAAGCGCTTTCTCATAAATACTCATAAAATACTATAAAAAAAAGTTTTTCTATATTATTTTTTCATAATTTTTAAGATTTTCTCTGGTGAGATTCGAACTTGAACTGAAGACATCTTTTGGATAATCGTCCGTCGCCTTAGACACTACGCCAATTCCTCACTTGATAAAAAGCGCTTTGTATTGCCCACTTAAAGGTTAAGGAAAAAAAATCTTATAGTTTGTTTGCCTTTTAAATCGCAAAATATCGACGAAACCGTTTAGCATATAAATAATGTAAGAGAGACCGGCACGATAATTCGAAATTAATTTTCTACCAAGGACTGTATAGAAAATTATTGCAATAAAACAGCAGATAATGACATTTTTCCATCATGTTAATTGTTATGTCCTGTGCAGACATGAGTCATGCACTCTATCTTTGCCTTTTCTGTCGGGAAACAACAAACAATTCCGAATCGTAAGACCGTTTTTCGTCTTTCCCCAATAAAAATTCCGACTAAAATTCCGAAATAACCCTGGGAAATACAGCACTAAAATTCCTTAATCCGCGAAGTAAACTTCGCCGGATCTTATCCTTGGGATCAAAAGGAACCGCTGGATAACAAAAATTATGTCCGTTACATTTTCTAACTTACGTTATCCGGTTCCGCCTCATCTGCTAATTCCCTCACCACCTTAAAAATCCTCCAATAACCTTCTCTTTTGAAATATATGATTTTCTCCACCCACAACCCCAGCCAAGAAGATTTCCTTAACACTGTCTACTTACTTACTACTGGATACAACAGTCCCCCATACCATTTTCTCTGACGAATCCAACAACCTAGGATCCCCCAAATTTCCACATCTTCCCTACCAAACCATTTCCAGTTGATATCGTATATAACCGCGACTCCGCGCACCGCGGGGCACTAAGGAAAAATCCAAGTACCCTAAGAGTTCAGCTACTCAACTCTCTGTGTTTATTGCTGTATTCATCGTGCGATCGTCCGCAACCCTCACACACAAATACCAGGTTCCATTCAGACGAAGATCGAAGGGGGCCCGACTGAGAAATCCAGCAACAGTTACTCTCTCCTCCAAATC